GCGGGGACTGGGGACTACTGGATCAGCAGACGTCCCCAGGGCTGCAGGTTCCACTTCCCCCTCGGTGTCTCTCCCTTTGTGGCTCCATTAGCTGGGGCGGGCGTAGGGCTCAGGATTCTCCTCTCCTAGGGAGCTTAGAGTTCACTTCATTAGGTCGATTACTTTCTCTAGGATCCAGCCCGAGTACAGTGCCCAGCTCCCTTCCTCTTCACTTGCGTGCAGGGATTTCTCCATCTCCTGCTTCCATTCTGGTTGTTTGGGGCCCCGTCTCAGAGCCACCTTCCTTGATTTCTTTCCCCACTCGCCTTTCTTTCCAACGTCCATTGACCACCGAGGTTTGTGGTCCCGTGTCTCCATCACCTCTTCTCCTGAGGATTCTGACCTCTCAGATCCCGACAGCTGGCAGGGTTTCAGCCGGGGCAGCGGCTCCCTTTCCGGGGAGTTTTCTCCCTTCCTTGCTCCTCTGTCTGACATGGTAATTTTTGCAAAGTCCCCCGGCAAGGGTCTTCCTTCCAGGTGGACTAATTTTGCAAGTCCTGTCTAATGTAAGGACCCACCCCATTTGGCATCTTAAGAAGACAGAACTCCTGGAATATTTCTTCCAACAGGCATCTTTATTAAGAGAAAGCTGGATGCAGGCGTTCTAGACAGGACTTGGGTCCAAGCTCTCCCATTCAAGGTTTTAAGGGATCCCCCATTAGCCACACCCCATCACCCCCTTCTCCCAGCGACAATCCCAGGCATTACATTCTCACTCCCTTTTCCTCACTGCCGGGAGGAGACTTCAGAAAGGATTACATGAAAGCTAATGACCCCCATTGTTATTGTTAGTCCTTTTGGTGATATCCACATCCAGTCCCTTTGAAGTAGGCTGAAGGAAGTGAGGGCCATAAAGCCCCTTTGTTCACCCCCTTCCCTTCATTGTATGACAGAATCCAGAGCAGGCAGAAATGCGGTTTTTCATAGTTGATAACTAGAGATGGAATATATTTGGATTCTGACAGTTGGTCTTCCTGGCTTTTGGATTCCAATTCTTCCTTGCTGCTATTCTCTTCCTCCACTCCTTTCAACTGTTCATAGAATTCTCGTGCCTTCTCTAGGCTGTCTATTTTAATCCTTCTCTCCCTCTGTGATATCAACATCCCCTCCAGGATTAACCATCTGAATGGTATGCTTCTTTTAATTAAATACGCACTGAAAAATCTATAATCCCTTCTCTGTTCTCTTATTTTCTTTGGTACCTGTTTTAAAGTTTGTATTTCCACACCTTTATAAATCATTGGATCCTCTCTTGTAATTTTGTAAAATATATCTCTCACTTTTTTCCTAGCGAATCTAATATGTACTTCTCGTGGAAGTCTGTTGCGTCTGTCATAATTTGTGTGAATTCTGTACATCTATCTCTAACAATATCTCTTGTTTGTCCCTTTGTAGAGCCTCAGCAATCAATTCCACCATGATAGCACCCAAATCCTCTTCCTTCTCCTCTACCACATTTTGAAATCGTAGGTAGAATGCCGCCCTATCTATTTCCAGATGGATTTCGATTCCTCCATTTTTTTATTAGTTGCCATCATTTTTTTATCTAATGTGTCAACTTTTCCCCCTACTTTATCCAACCCTACTTCTACTGTCTGTATTCTTGCTTCATTTTTCTCAATCGTTTGTTGAATCATCTCAATTCTATTATCCAATTTATTCATATCCCCTCTCATTTCTACGTGATTCTTAGATATTGTCTCCTGCATTTTTTGCATCATTTCTTGGATAGTAAGTAGTGTTGTCTGCATGGTCTGCATATTTACTATTACACTCTGTTTTTCTGTACCAAACATTCCTTCTAATGTTCTTTGACCAGGTGGGGATGAGGGTGTCAGTGCTAGGCTTGACACCGTTTTTTTTCCTGTCCTCAGTGTTGTCATAGTTATCACTTGTTTCTCTAATATTTTTTATTTCTAAATGTCACTCTATTTAGCCAACAGCTTATTTAACTTTATTTTAACTCTAAATTTCTAATTCTTCGTTTCCCTTCCTCAACTCCTCTGAAACTACCTCTACTGCCATTATTCCCCAAATCTCTTCCTACCTTCTCCAACCCTCTTTACTTTCTTTCCTTTTTCTTATCACACAGTCTTTCTAAAAGTCCAAATTACTTCTCCAATCGTATATTATCAATCGTTAGTCCGTTCTTAACGCCTTATCACGTCCTCTCATCATCTCCTTTACCTTCTGAGCCTCGTCCACATTCCTGTCACTTTCAACGTCATGCCCCGTCCTCTCGTCGTCTCCTTTCCTTCCTCTCACACTCGTCACCATATCCCCCCCTTCAATCCTCTTCACTTTCTCTCGTCTCTCTTAACTAAAGGCACAGTCTCTGTTAAGCTCCGAATTTTCCCTCCGATCTCATCTCTCCCGCCATCAATCTGTTCCTTTCGCTTTCGTCTCCTGCCACGTCCTTTCGCCGTCTCTTTCACCTTCAGGATTTTCACTACACTCCACTCTCTTTCGCACTTAAACACATACTCTCGTCATCTTCTTGGCTTTCCGAATCCTCTCCACATTCAGGTCTGTCTCCAACTTTCTTCTCCAACCACTTCTCCAAAAATCTCTAATACTCCACAACGTATTCACTCCTTCTCCGTTTCTCCTAAATTGCCATTTTCTCTTCCTTCCCAGCTGCTTGCTTATCGATCTTCTCCCTTCACTTCTCTTGTCCCACAGGCTCCACCAACTCCACCTTCACCGCCGTCTCTCAACCTCTTCTTCCTTAATCCTCCACCGTGTTCCTCAAATTTGCGCTAAAACATTTGCCACAAGGTCTTTCCTTCCTTTATGTCTCCCTCCTGTTAATCCTCTGGTTGTTAAATCTGTCAACTCATGGCTTTTCCCACCGGATCGCCGCTTGCATTGAGGATTCCCTCACCAGTTGAGCTTCCTTTCAACACCCACCCTAATAGACAAGTAGATCTTTTTAGACTTTTCTATTATTCCTTAGAAATATTTTGAACTATTTTAACTCACTCATTAACACAGTCTGTTAAGTTTCTCTTTGCTTCCGCATCCTCTGTGGTTTTGTCAGGGCCTCAGATCCGCCATCTGTTGATGGCAGAAATTTCCACGCTGGATTTAGGGGGTTTCCTTCGTTGTAACGATGATCGCCTCTCATCTCGCTACTCTTCCGGCTTCACCCTTTCTCATGCGTAGCCCTCCAGGCTCTCTACGCCCCTGGAGGGTCTCCAATCGTAGAAAGATCAGAGTTAGGGGACAGTCCTCTTGCCTCCGCACCGCCCTGACATCACCACCGGAAGTCTGCTATTGATTTTCATTTGATTGTAATTTGCATACTATTTATGTAATAGAATTTGTCCTTATCCTTTGAATTACAGGAGATTCAGTATCAAATTATTTTTCTTGGTTAGTTGATCTCTAATGTATTTTGTGTGGTATGTGTAATTTCAGATTTTCTGATATGACCTCTTTTTAAGTGAATTTTCTGGAATAACTGAAGTGAATATCTGAATTTCTTAAGCATAGTTCACGGAAGTATACAACTTTACACATCATGTCTTTTGTTCATCCATACTAACTATTCTACACATTTAAGTTGCAAAAACAGAATAATTTATTAAGGGAGTTCCTGTTCTGCAAATGTACCATTAAACCATATCACATGTTTGATATTAGAAATAATTTATAAGTATATAATCTTGTGATAAGGTGGGTGGCAAACAAATTAAACAAAAAACAAACAAACAAATAAATAAACAAATACTTTTATAAGTACACTCACAATTTAGCATAGTCCAGAGATCTCTAATGTACATGCAAAGATATTCTTTTATAGATTATCTATTATCTTGTAACATTTTCCCCATCTTTTTGAACAACTGATACATAAGCTTTAAAACATTTTGTGGTGCTTCACAAGATACTTCTTTTTGTCATGGAACTGGAGCATGATTGGTTGGGGGCTAGAGGCTAAAACTTATGAAGAATAGTTTCAAGAATTGGTTATGTCTAGTCTAGTGAAAAAAAAGGACTAGGGGTGACATGATAGCAGTGTGCCAATATTTGAGGGGCTGCCACAAAGAACAGGGATTAATTTATTTTTCAAATCACCAGAGAGCAAGACAAGAAACAATGGATAGAAATTAATCAAGAAGAAAAGCAATCTAGCACTAAGGAAAACTTTTCTGGTATGAGAACAATTAACTAGTGGAACAGCTTGCCTTCAGAAGTTGTGGATACTTCATTGGGGCAGTGGTGGGATTCAAATATATGAACAACCAGTTCTCTGTGTGGATGTCACTTCCGGAACTCCGTTCTAGGCCTGGGCAACAAAAAATTAGCTACCGGGTCTGCAGAAGTGGTGCGAACTGGCTGAATCCCACCACTGCATTGGGGGCTTTTTTAGTGGCTGGTTGCTGATTTGATTCAAACACTTCTTTGAATTGGCCCAAAGTAGAACATGAGTCTCTTGTATTTTGATAAGATTGACCTATTTCTGTTTGGGTATTGTGGTTGATTCTCTGATGTTATTTCATGTAATATCATTAAAATATGTAGGTATGTACTTAAACTAAATAATAGAAGAAGATTTTGCTATATGGAGGTTGATGCCGTTTAGCTGATGTTTTTGCACTGCTGCATATGATTCCATTCAATATGGCTTGTTCCACAAGTATGATGAAAGAAATAACAAGTTAGAGCATGATGTAGCAGGCCAGCCACAGAAAGCCATCACCAAAATGATCAATAGCATGGTGAAAAAATGTTTTTTCTCAAAAAGGTGAAGCAGGTCCAAATTCACACAGCTTTGTTTCTTTTCCCCACTGTTAAAAGATCAGAAGCCTCCTAAAACAAAGCGACAAGGTCATTAATAGTAGTTGCAGGTCTCCTCAACTGACCTGTCTAGGATGACTAAGAAGGAAATCCGGCAGGGAAGAAAACGCTTTTTATGGCTTTGTTTTGTAAGATTCATTGCATCAACGACGACATTGAATAGAGCAGGCACTTTCCAGCTTGCTCAAGAGGACACAATCACAGCCGCTCTGTGACTAACCTTCAGCCGCCTGTAACTTTCCTCGCTTTTCCACAGGCTTAGAAACGCGTGCGCACGCGCACCTGCCTCATTGCTTTCTGCTGTCCAGCGGCCTGCCTCTTTCACTTCTTTTTGGGCTTTCTCAGGTAAGGATGCTGAGAGGAGGGCCAGCGAAAGAAGGGTGGGATGGCCGGGCGGGCGGGCTGCTTCGTCGAGGGTCTCTGGAGACATTTTGTAGGAAAGTAAAAGACTCTCCTTTCTAGTCGTCGCACTTTTTCCCGAGCCTTCTGCTTTTGCCATGTCGGCGGCGAGAGAGAACAGAGCGAGATCCCGTGCCCACCACGGATGCCCATTATGATGTCGCCGCGCCGGCCGCCCGGCCCCATTGATACCGGGGAATTGGCCTGCTAGTGTGAAGCCGCGGATCTGTCCGACTTGTAGGACTGTTTCTTCCCCCCGTTTGGTCTGCACCCTACGCAAAAGAAGCCGATCCGCTTAGGACGAAGTGAGGGGTGATAAAAACTAGACTGGGAACAACATGAGGTGTCGACGTGCAGGAAGCGCTGTGTTGCTCAATTCTGTTGCATTAACTGAGACCGTGATTTTATGTGGTTTCTGGGAAAATGCCTTCGTACTGGGTAAATGTGCATCGCAACAAAATGTATACTGAGAACGTGTATTTCCAGAAACCGGTTCCTTATTTGCATAATTTGTGCAATGTTTGATGCAACTTTCCGTTTCCATTCTTTCCCACTCAGAGTCTGAGGAAATAGAATGGCTACTAACGATGCTCTGAAGCAAAAGACAGAAGACAAGGAATGTGCAGAGTAAGAATTAAAGGAGCTTAGAAACAATACCTCAAAAATAAGGGATGGGAGAGAACAAATATCTCTGTCTGTCTGTCTGTCTGTCTGTCTGTCTATCTATCTATCTATCTATCTATATCTATCTATCATTCATTCATCATAGAAATGGGTGTTCTAAAATAGGTGTGTAACGTATAACAATTACCACTGTGTTTATTACAGCAATATTCTTATTTATTGATTTTGAATTGGCATTTTTGAGACCTCCAAAATATTCCATTTCACACTGAGTAAAACTTAATCTGTTCACAGTGTCTCAGCATAGTCAATAAGGAAGTTGATCATACAAAAATGCACTGTATTTATGATGATATCATAATGAAATCATAATGAAATCAAAATTTTCAAGAAGAGATGTACTAATTTAGATATTACACTACCCTTGGTTGAAGATTTGAGATTACTAATCTATTTAATTGTTTATTGATAGAGATGCCAGAGTTTGTGTCCCTAATCCATACCTTAAGAAAATGAAAGATGACATCTTGTATCATTTTGCCCTTGGGACTAGTACTCATGATTTTCCTGCCTTATTTGGAGATATAAAGGTAAGAAAGAAAATGGCTCTAGACTGTAAATGAAAGTAATTGTTTTCCCTTTCCATTCTGCAGTTAAGTCCTATGAGAGTCTTTTTTCTTGTGCTACTATATCAGACATGGGTTGAGATAAAATTTGCAGAATCTACTTAAAAGCCAAATAACCCAGAGCCAGAAAAATAGTAGCGAGGAGAGGAGGCTAGTCTTTCTCAACTACTCATATTTTATATCCCACCAATCAGTCTATCAAAGAAGTAGTCTCACCAAGAGATAAAGAGAAAAAACACTTTCTCCAAGAATTTAGAGATTTATAGATACCATATTCCCATATTTGGTACTTTAAAGACTTAATCAAAGTCTGGCCCTTTGTCCCAACTGTACTATTTCTGTGTTCTTCCTCCCCAAGTGATAAGTATGCCACCAGAAGAGCAAGGTGAAGACAGTATGGTCATCAATTACTGGTAAACTGGAACTCCCTTATCTCTCACCGATGGCTAAGTTAGCAGAAATTATCTTAGAATAGTAGACATTACTTAAATTTTTAATGAGGTCATTCCCTTTCTTCCTGGAGGCCAGTAGCCTCATTTCAAAATGCTTTGAAAGATATTTTAAATCAGGGCTTTTCAACCGGTGGTATGCATACCACCTTTGGTACATTGGCACCTGGCAGGTGGTATGCAACCATCCTAGAAAAGTGGTAGCGGGAGAAGGGAATGAGCTGAACCAATACAGCACCATACAAGCCTGACCAAGAGACAGCTGGAGCTGCAGGGCTGTCAGGGCTCAGCGGAAGCACCAGGATCAGCACCATTCCAGCTGATCGTTGCTTCTTCGAGGCTGTCAGGGCTCAGCGGAAGCGTCAGGATCAGTGCCGCTTTCCAGCTGTTCGGGGCTGTCGGCTCAGTGGAAGCGCCAGGATCAGCGCCGCTTTCCAGCTGATTGGCACTTCGGGGCTGTCAGGGCTCAGCGGAAGCGCCAGGATCAGTGCTGCTTTCCAGGTGATCGGCGCTTCTTCTGGGCTCAGCAGACGCACCGGGATCAGTGCTGCTTTCCAGCTGATTGGCGCTTCAGGACTCAGCAGAAGCGCCAGGATCAGTGCCGCTTTCCAGCTGATCGGCACTTCTTCGGGGCTGTCAGGGCTCAGTGGAAGTGCCAGGATCAGTGCAAGGCTCCAGCTGGAGCTTGCCGCTGATCCCGGTGCATCTGCTGAGCCCAGAAGTAGCGCCGATCAGCTAGAAAGCAGCACTGATCCCGGCGCGTCTGAGCCCAGAAGAAGCGCCGATCAGCTGGAAAGCAGCACTGATCCTGGCACATCTGCGGAGCCCAGAAGAAGCGCCGATCAGCTGGAAAGCAGCACTAATCCTGGCACATCTGCGGAGCCCAGAAGAAGCGCCGATCAGCTGGAAAATGGCACTGATCACGGCGTGTCTGCTGAGCCCAGAAGAAGGCTGATCACCTGGAAAGCGGCGCTGATCCCGGCGCGTGTGTTCACACAAACACAAACACATGTGCAGGTCTGGGAGAGGTAAGCTGAGCCAAGCCATGCAGAGGCAATGATGGGGGAGGGGAATCCTTTGCCCACCACTGCCTGCCTGTTGCCACTTCTTCCCGGAGCCTCTGTCAGTTTAAAAAAAAGGGGAGGGAGGGAGGGTGGGAGGGAGGAAGGAAAGAAGGAAGGAGTTAGGAAAGGAGGAAGGGAGGGAACTTGGATATAAAAGGGGGGGAGAGAAATTTGTTAAATGAGCTTTGCCCCATTTTATGACCCTGGAGATGCTGCAATGGTCATAAGTCACTTTTTTCAGTGCCATTATAACTTCAGTCATTAAGCAAACTTTGTAAGTCGAGGACTACCGGTACTTTATCACTTTTTTCCTTTTTGGGGGGGGGGTCATCAAGTTTTTGACACCTTGCTAGGTGACTGGTGTTACTCGAATGTTGCCATATTCTAAAAGTGGTACAATCGGTGAAAAGGTTGAAAAGCCCTATTCTAAATGATGTGCAGCCAGTTAAAATGGATCCCTCATTACATGCAGTTCTCAAATTATTACTGGTAATTTGGAGACAGTTTAAAGTTATGGATCCTTGAAAAGGATTTGAAATTCCCATTGTAACAGCAGTCCCTTGGCAATCCACCCACCCTTATGATTGATCACAGGGATGCTACAGCGGCTCACCATTTATCTCCCTCACATCATACTCCGCTAGCTCCCCACAGCTGATTCCCACTCTATTGTGTCCCATATCCTCCTTCCTGTCTCTTCTTACCAGTGACTTATCTTTCATTATAGATCTTCTGGAAGCAGTTGCTGCTCTGTACAGCGTTCCTTCACAGTGAATATGAATTCATTTGCAATAAATTACAGCTCTCAAATTTGGTGCCTGCTTCCAGGATGAAGCCACACGACTTCAATTATGTAGGAAGGCCATGCAGCATAATGGCTGCTTGCGGAAGAAAAGTTGACTGATCAGTCACTCAAAGCCTGCAGCAACCGTAAAGGGTCAGAAGTAGAGCAAGGGTGCCTCAGTGGGTGCAGAAGGGCTTGGGAGACCTGGGGCAAGCTATATGTGAGCTGGAGTGCTGCCTCTGTGTGAGCATGGGCCTATGCTAGGCCTCCCTCATCCCGAGGCACCTTGTGCTCTGCTTAATAATCTGTGTGGTTGCTTAATATCTGCACTGGGGAAAGCAGGGATCGAGATTGTTAAGTGAGATCACATAGATGCCTCTCTTAATGATTATTATGACTTGCAACTGCAATGGGCAGGCTCCTTTAAGTTTGTAAGTGAAGAACTACTATACAGTAAGTTTCTGCATCTATCAGTTATTACTGCCAAATGCTTCTGTCACATTATTATATCTTTCTAGCCTGCTTTCAAGGTATTAATGGGGAGATATAGTAATAGTCTTCAAAATCATTTGTGAATATGCTCAATGGAAAATCAAATCAGCTACATATATACTGTTGAATTTTGCTATGTAGTGTTGTTAGAGCCGTGGTGGCGAACCTATGGCACGGGTGCCAGAGGTGGCACTTGGAACCCTCTCTGTGGGCACACGTGCCGTTGCCCCAGCCCTGCCTCCCCCCGCGACCGCTTCCTCTTCAGCAGTCCCCCTGAAGGAGACTCGCCCTCGAGCGTGGCCTGGAGCAGCGCAGCCAAGGACATGGCAGCCAGGCAGCGTAGACAAGATTCTGCCCTTACACCCCATCATGCAGTTGATGCTGCAGGGCGTGGGCAGAGGGTGTAGCCACCATAGCACTGCTAGACTGCCTGGGCGATCTGCGGCAGGCCCTGGAGGCGGTGAGTGGTCCTGTGGGCAGGCGGGGTGGGGGATGGGGGCAGAGCGGGGGCGGGCAGGCGGGTGGAACGGGGGCAGGGCCAGTTTTTGGGCACTCGGTCTCTAAAAGGTTCGCCATCACTGTCTTACAGAATGAAAATAATCATGTCCAATAATAAATCATCAGACAACTTTGTGTTTCCTATTTAAATGTTCAGTATTTCAAGCTTCTAGAATATTTAAAAATGACTAAATGGCACTTTAAAAGTTTTAAATAATGAAAGGCACCTTCTAATGGGAAGATCAAGAGTTTAGTTTAGGCATGAAAACTGGCTGGGTGGCTTGGGACCCATCACTCTCTTAGCCCAACTTACTTCACAGGCTGTTATAGGGAAATTAGGGGGAGGAGGAAGTATTAGATATGTTTGCCACCTTGAGTTATACAAATAATAAAGGCAGGATTAATTTTTTTTAAAAAAAATGTATGCTATGGAATTAGAAAGCTGAATCAAAAACATAATCCAGGTACATTTAATTTCTATTATGAATAGGGCTTTTACGAAAAATGCTTTATATTCTGACCTTATTCTTTGGTTTTTGATCATATAAAAATAAATGCATGAATTGTTTATCCTTGCCTTCAAAAATGGAGTCAATTATCTGTAGTGGAGTAGAGACCTGAGAAATCTAGATTTTGGTTCAATTGTTCAGTCATGAAGAAAAACCTATGTAGTTGCCAGAAATAAAAAACAACTTGATAACACATAATCTATCACATCAATCAGTTGTTCAGTCACTTTTGTGACCCAATAAATATTTTACTAGCATAATCTGTTAGTAACTACTACTAGTAAATTCATGCTTGTGTCAGCAATGATAACATCATGAAACTCTGTAAACTTTTTTTTGATTGTCTTTAATTTTCCCAAGCATTGGAATCTTCTCAATTATTCTTGCCTTAAATATTCAGAATAATTAGGTTTCAGCTTCAATATCAATCCTTTCAGTGAACAACCTTCTCTACAATATATTCCAAATATAAATTAAATAAATGAAAGTGGCAGTACAGAGCTTTGGTGCAATCAGGCTCAATTTAAATTTGAGTTCCTCTAGATTAGAAATTTTAAAACTTAATTTTTCCTGCTGATGTAGTCAACAGGAAATGTATGTACTGAGCAGGATGGCCAAGGATGAGAAATGGTATGTGCTGTAATCTACAAAATCTGGGACAGACACATAGGTTGTTACCCACCTTCCCTGTTCCATGTGTATTGAAAACTACACTTTGGGGAGAAAATTTTTTGTAAAAGTTTTTATTAATTTTTTCCATAAATACTATAATAATTTTTCAACCAACGTGTTGTCTGAGTTTACATTCGCTAATACATATTCAATTCCTAATCCTTTATTCTTTCCTTTAGCCATCGATAAAATAAGTCCCATGTTTGATAATATTCTGTTTCTTCTTTTTCTTTCAGTCTCATAGTCAATCTATCCATCTCTGCTCATTCTAGTATTTTTTTATTTCTTCATCTGATGGTATTCCTTCATTTTTTCCAATGTTGCGCAAATATAGTTCTTGCCACTGTTGTGACATGCAAAATCAAATATAGGCTTTGTTTGTTAGTCTTTTCGGGCATTATACCTAATAAAAAAGGTTCAGGTTTAAAATCTACATGTTCTCCCAACATCTTTTCTAGCCAAGTATGTATCTTTTTCCAATAATTCTTTACTTTAT